CTGAGTTTGGTTTAACCACAATACCAACCATGGTACAACTCTGTGGAGACTGGGCAAGGAAAACCCTAAGTTCTATTTCTAGAAATTTTTCTAATGACCATGTCCTTAAAATTCTATTTCTGCCAACACTAAGAACCCTGAAATATTCAAGTGGAGATGACTGTTGGGGCTGATATACTAGGACTCTGTCAGGTGATTAAAAGGGTCAATGCATAGTTCCCAAACATAACTACTACTTCTCTTGCTTACTGACCACTTGCAGTTTTTAAAAAGAATATTTTCAGTTTGGAGAACTTAAAAAAAAGTTTGCAGTCAAATAGATAGGAGTTTCAAGCTTGGCTTTATGGCTTAGTTTCTTCAGTTTATTCTCTTGAAAAAATTAGAATAATACCTCAAAACACTTGAAGAGAGATTGAATGGGTTAAATACATATATAGCTTTGCATAGAACCAACCAATACATCATGGATTCTCCATAAATAGAATAAACATGAGTTTGCTCTCTGGGAAATGATTCGAAAGGAACTAACTGGATTTAATAAGAAAGACAGTGGGGCCATATGAGAAGGCAGAGCTGGACCAGAACATAGTCTGGATGCCTAATTTGGGAAAATCATTTACCTTTACTCATCCTCAGTTGCCACATCTGTAAAGTGGGGACAATGCTTTTTCATCCTCCTTACCTTGATATAAAAGAGGAGAACACATGAGCGTCTGGGAAAGGAATTTTAAAACCAAATATATTGATTTTTTGTTCTCAGCAACAGTGGGGTAAACAAGCCTCCAGGCAAGAACAATGAAAACAAGCCAAATAATTTTTTTTTAAATATATTTGAAGACATCAGAGTTACCAAGAAAGTGAAGGATTTAGGAGCCAAGGTCCAGGAGGGAAGAAAAAACCCAGCAAAGCAAACTTAACATCTGATGCCTCCGCTTTCCCTTTAAAGGCATTTACTGCTTCGATATCAGTAGCTAACAGGCTGAAAAGATGAACAAAGCTTCTGGCCATCTCACAAGATGGAAGGAACAGAAGCTGGCATTTAGGGTGTGTCAAGAAAAAGGGCTTGGAACAACTCCTGGCTTAAATTGGAACCCTTAAAGATCAAAACCCTATGAGTAGGAGTTGATAAGAACTAGATCTCCCTTCAGGAAGCTCCACTTTGAATCAATCAAATAACTGATTGAATTAAAGTGATCTGCTCCTTACCTTAACTGCCCGCAAAAGAAAATCTGCTTTTTTGGAAGGTTACAGCATTTAAAGCCTCATATTCCAAAATGTTTTATATGTAATGTTTGGCATCTAAGCAAGTATAATCAGGCAAGCAAAAACCCAAGGAGAAAACAGAAAAAGCGAGACGATTTAAAAATCCATAACATATTCTGATACTGGAGTTAGACAAAAATCAGGAAAAAAAATACTTCTTCAAAAATATAATTAGAAGACTGTAAGTATACTTCTAACTTGGCTTCTTTTTTTTTTTTTTTTTTTTTTTTAATTTTATTTTTGGGACAGAGAGAGACAGAGCATGAACGGGGGAGGGGCAGAGAGAGGGAGACACAGAATCGGAAACAGGCTCCAGGCTCCGAGCCATCAGCCCAGAGCCCGATGCGGGGCTCGAACCCACGGACCGCGAGATCGTGACCTGGCTGAAGCCGGACGCTTAACCGACTGCGCCACCCAGGCGCCCCTAACTTGGCTTCTTTAAAATACAATCATTCTCTGAAAAAAAAAAAAGGAAAATTTACTCTTAAAGCAAACAATCTCACACTTTGTCAATTTAAAAAATGCAGTGAATTTCTAAGAAGATGACTAGATTGAGAAAGATGAAGCAGAAAACCTCTGGAGCTTTCTTTTTCCCATCATGTCTCAATTTTGTAAAGGGCTTTCTGGGGGGATTTTCTTGTACACAAAAAAAATCACTGACTTGATTCCAAAATTTTTAATCAATTGTCCTGTGCACTTTACTATTTATATTCTACATGCAACAGCAGATTCCACTCAAATTTTTACTATGTTTAGTTTTTTTAGAAGCACCATGGAATAGATTTTTTTGCTACTAAAATATAAACATTTTAGCTCTAATGGGCTAACACAATCATCTCTTCATCAATTGTTCCATTAGTTAATTCATTAGAAACTATTAACATCATCATTAGACCAGGAATGAATTTTGATCATTGCAATTAAATGAATTTGGTTCTGACTGAAGTTCAGGAAAAAACAAAACAAAACAGTATTATGATTTTTAACTCTCAAGAAAGAAAGAAATACATGGATAATAACACAGGGTATATTTTCAACTTGATACAATTTTAAAGATAACTGTAGAATTAAGTAATCTAATGGAGAAACCAAGTTCATCTCAGATATGGCAATAGATATGTGGACAACAACATTCAAGGGGGAAAAAAGTCTGGGATCTAAGACCACTAAGAGTTTTTAAGTGATTGAGTGCTTTACTGGCTGTCTGCCATTCTTTAGATGTCTTCTGCTAAATCTGAATATTTCATCCATTTACCTCTGTAAATGAAATTTCTCAACAGTATTTAGTTTTTCATTTTTATCTAGAGCTGAATTAACTCTGTCTCATCAAATCAACTAGACTACTACAAGATGAGAGAACAAAATCTTTTCATGAAAGGTTGGAGAGGGACAGAAAGACTTAATTCCAAAATAGTTTAAACAAATAGAGGAAAGAAGGTAAATAGTAAGTGCTATTGGTAGATGATGGCTTTAGTGTGCCATTCCTGTCCTGTAGTTATTTACAGTTAAAGAACATGGCATTTCTCCCTGATAGACTATAATTAGCAGATGATATGTTAGTTCTCCTTAGAGAGACCTTCTTACTCCAAAGGCAGCAGAATTGAACTATAAATTGACTCTATTAATGTGCCTAAAGAAGAAATACGTCCATGAAAGAGTTAGCTATAGAGGTGTTAAAAAAAGAAGCCATTTCTGGCAAATTCTGGTAACATTCAAGTTAATCAGTCTAGAAGAGTCTTCACTAAACACAAGGAAACATGATGGTCTTTATTCTTACAGTGGATCAGTGTCTCAGCTTCCTTAGCAACACAGAATCACTTCAAATTTGTTCTGAGTTTCAGAGAGGTTAAGTAAATCACTCTTAGTTAGCTATTTGTCTTTTAAGTCAAGATCTAGACATGAATCCAAATGCCACAAGAAGTATATGTCTTTAGTTAAAATGTTAAAATTTTCTTTTTAATATTCATTTACTTTGGAGAGAAAGAGAGAGAGAGAGAGAGAGAGAGAGAGAGAGAGGGCGCGTGCATGTGTCAGGGAGGGGCAGAGAGAGGGGGACAGAGGATTCCAAGCAGACTCTGTGCTGACAGCAGAGAGCCCTGACATAGGAGCTCGAACTCACGAATCGCGAGATCATGACCTGAGGCAAAGCTGGATGCTCAACTGACTGATCCATCAGGTACCCCAAAATATACAATTTTTAAAGTCTGATAAACCACATAACTTGTTCCAAGAACATTTCAATGTATATATAAACAAAATTATTTATCTATTGAAGATACACATGTAGCTCCAATCAAACTGGACCATTTTACTCCTTCCTATCTGAAGACCCAAATCTGCACTAGGTAACATTAAAAACAGACAGAACCTTTGAAAATGAACATGAATATCTTTGGAAGCTTCATGCAGGCATCAAATTAAACTAGGTAGAGTCTGGGTGGGGAGGAAAGGTAGGAGTGCTCCTCTTCTGACACCTTCTAACCCTATCCCCTTCAGATCTCTTTCTCCTTACAGTCTATTCATTATAGTGGTTGCTCATTCATTCAGCAAACACTGAGGATTTTACTATGCACCAGGCACTCATGCTTTATCAGTAGTTCCCTCAATCTTTCTCCTGTCTTCTCTTTGCAGCCCACTTCTCTCTTAATGCATTCTTTTTTTTTTTTTTAATTTTTTTTTCAACGTTTATTTATTTTTTTGGGGACAGAGAGAGACAGAGCATGAACGGGGGAGGGACAGAGAGAGAGGGAGACACAGAATCGGAAACAGGCTCCAGGCTCTGAGCCATCAGCCCAGAGCCTGACGCGGGGCTCGAACTCCCGGACCGCGAGATCGTGACCTGGCTGAAGTCGGACGCTTAACCGACTGCGCCACCCAGGTGCCCCTCTTAATGCATTCTTAACCAACAGGAACTTTGTATTAGTACCCAGCTTCTAACTCTTCCTCATATATGCCTACTTAGTCACTTTGTCTTCTTACAATTCCATTCTCTTTTGACTACCCAAAAGAGCACAGCATAGGGCTCCTAAGAGCCCATCTAGGTAAATAGGGAACTGTCCCAGAAAAATGGGGAAGGTGCGAAAGGCACGGAAACTTAAAGGTTGTGTCTCTTGTACATATTGTTTGCCTATATTATGCTCCACCAGGTTTTTAGGCATATTCCTTGGCATCCTCAAACCTCTGCCTCGAGTGATGAACAGATGACCAGACAACTGAAATTGGCTATAACTGGTCATAACAGCATAGGTTTTACTCTGCCTCTTGGAACTCTACACAGCCTAATAGAGAAACAAGGCCTTAAAAAAAATCATTTGAAGTGTATTGATTTTTATAAGCTTTTGGATCATAACAGAGAATACTATTACATATTTAACTTTCTATAATTTTCATCAAATATTTTTTCATGAAACATTCTCATGAATGTTACCATTTAGTTTAAATCTAGTATGTCTTTAGAAATTCTGTTTTTAATGGGAAAGTAAATGTTTGCAAGAGTAAATGGATATTACGGTGTTTCATTTTTCACTTACTAAGCATCCCAAATTTTCACACACCCACATCATATTAAATAACACTCTCCTGCCATTTCTATACTCCTCTGAAGATATATCTCGGTAGAATTTATCAAGTTGTACGATGTGTCATTATGAAAATCATCAGAAGAAATTTCCCTTTGATACTTTTTTGGTGCCTGGAAACAAAACTCTTCTTGAGTTAGATTTCTAAGACCATCTTACCTGTCAAACAGTTCTCCTCCTGTGACGAGTTCTAGGACCAGACTGATTTCTGTAGGGGTTTCAAATATCTCTTTAAGTTTTATCTGGGGAAAGATATTAAAAATACATCAGAAATTCCTTATTTTCATCCTTCTAGGAAAGAGCTAACACTGACTAAAACAACACTCTCTGTAATAGCAATATATTGGATCATCATCAATAAAGTTTCCGCATTCTGGTAACAGTAGCCATTTTTTTCACTCTCTGGTTGTTTTGACCAGTTACTACCTCATTTCTTTAAAGGTCCTTTTGAGTTTTTATATTTTTCTTTTTGACAATTCAAAGACAACTGCCCTAGAAACACTTCCTAAGTTTTGCCAAAACATCAAAATTTCTGAAATGCTCTGGAATTAAAAAACGAAAGCAAACAAACAAAGCTTCTTGAAACATTTGAAAGCATCATGGTTGCTAGTGATGTAAATGCCTCTTTCTCCTGGAAGGGAACTTGGAATTAGGGGTCTGAGGCAGAACAGGACCAGGTTAAAGTCTGTCCATATGGAAAGGATACCTCTCAACAGCTAAAATGTTGCTAGTGGATGAAGGGATCCTCAGAAAAGTAGTGATGGCAGTGATTTGACTGACTATAACAAGACTCGCATCACACTCAGATAACTCACCCAATTTTGGATATTTTCCTCCATATATCAGAGAATCTAGTGACCAGGACTCATCCACATTTGAGGAAAATTCTACATTGACTTGTTGTTGAAAGAAAAAGATGGATAATGTAAAAGTTGTGACTGTATGTGGCAAATTTTGTTAATTGCTTACCCAAAGCTCTTCTCCCCCTACTTTATTGCAAGCAGATTTTGTATAGAGAAGCAAGATGCCTAGCTTCAAATTATGGATCATGATTGGTCTAAGCCACCTAGGATAATCCTGCCCCAATTTTCCAGTTCCATGATCTTGTGGAACTGGAAAGGGATGATCTTGTGGCCAGCTTTGGCCAATAAAATCTGAAGAGAATTCTGATGCAGCTGGAAATTTTGAAAAAGCCTCATCATACTCTGCTGGCGAAGCCTTTTCAATTCTTTCTTTCTTTCTTTCTTTCTTTCTTTCTTTCTTTCTTTCTTTCTTTCTTTCTTTCTTTCTCTCTTTCTTTCTTTCTTTTAGAGATTATTTGTTTTGAGAGAGAGATAGAAAGAGAGCAGGGGAGGGGCAGAGAGAGAAGCAGACAGAGAATCCCAAGCAGGCTCCATGCTGTCAGTGCAGAGCCCTACCCAGGGCTCTATCTCACGAACTGTGAGATCATGACCTGAGCTGAAATCAAGAGTTGGATGCTTAACCGACTAGCCACCCAGACATCTCCAGTTCTTTTTGTCTTGAGTATAGGCCTGAAGACCTGTGAAAACTGTGGAGCAGCCATTTAGGACAATGAAGGAACAGCGTGAGGGTGGAAGATGTCTGGGTCCTGAACAGCATCACTGATGAGCTGAACCAATGCCAGCAACTGCCTGCCTTCTGATTATAACATAAGAAAATATATGTTTACACTACCATATTCAAGTTTTCTGTTACTTATAGCTGACTGCATTGCTAACCCATATGTTAAGTTTTAAGCACTTTGCTTGGAGCCTAACTAAGCATTGTAGGTCATCCTCCTAGACACCATAACTTTTTCAAGAAATGAGTAAAATATTGTCTTTAAGTAGTTGGCTCAGTTCAAGTTATGGCCTGGAAAATGATTTTGTTCTTTTCACTTCATTGGCTCAAGAAAGCTTTTTGCCAGACCTTTCCCTCAGCACCTTTGTCTGGACATAGCCTAGAGCAGAGCTTCTGAGGACATGTTATTTTCCCCATTGAAGTACATCATTTATTTGAATCTTCACATTGTTTCTGAAGTAGATCCTCTCTCAAAGGAGACTGAAATGACTTTGGAAAGCAATGCATTTTCTTCACAGGCTTTTTCAGCAATGGCATATTAATAAGATAGGCACACAAAAGGAAGAAGCCAGTGTTTTCTTAGAGTGAAACAAAACTTCAATTTTTAGTTACCCTTTCATGCATGAAAACAAAGATGGCATGTATTACTGATCTGTCCATTTTGAGACTCTTTTGAGGGGTATTATTTTTAAGATTTATTCAGCTTCTGAATTAAAAAATGTGATCAGATGAGGACAAGGGGTAGGCCACGGCTGCCTAATGGTGGTGGAAGAATCCCTATCTCATTAATAGCATGGCCAGCAAAGAAGAAAAACCCCATTCTATAACTTTGAAAATTTTTGAAATAGAAGATTAAAAATGACTTACAATGTTTGGATGTGAGAGGCGAAGAAGAACTCCTATCTCAGTTCTTACGATTTTTTTGTCCACCTAGAAGGCAAAATGAAAGAGAGAAACTGAAAGAAACTCCCACCTTAGAAATGTCTTAACTGTGGCAGAGAATCAGAAACAGCAAAAACCACCTGGGTGAATCAGGAAATTGGTAGAGGCTCATTCCTGAGCTTTTTTGTGTCTCTTCCTTCCTCCTACTCCACCTTTTTTTTTTTCAGTTGCATGTCTTTCTTCTCTGCTTCAGACATAAAGTAGAACTAGTTACAAATGTGGATCACAACTTGTCAGACCTCTTGCTTGGCCCTATTTAAAACACCACTACTCTCACCACTAAGGCAAAAAGTTCATCTCAACCTATATCTCCTCCTCCTCTTCATTTCTCTTAGGAACCCTTGTCCCAACCCCACTGGGTGGTCAATCACTTCACCTGCCTTTCTCTCACACAGGTGGGCACGTAATCCAGCCAAACCAATCAAAGTACTCCTCCCTGGTCACCGTGGTTGAGTCACAAATACCCACCAGATCCAAGTCATCCCAGTCGGGGCCCTCACCAGAAATTTTGCTCAAATAATCAAGAAAGATGTATTCCCTTTTTCTCTGAAATTGCGAGAGCCAAAGGGAATAGAGTCTGCTACTACCAGTGACCATTAAAAAAATTTTTTTTTACATTTATTTATTTTTGAGAGACAGAGTGAGACAGAGTGTGAGTGGAGGAGGGGAGGAGAGAGAGGGAGACACAGAATCTGAAGCAGGCTCGAGGCTCTGGGCTGTCAGCACAGAGTCCAATGTGGGGCCCGAACCGACGAACTATGAGATCATGACCTGAGCTGGAGTCGGACGCTTAACCAACTGAGCCACCTACCAGGGACCATTTTTAATACTCTACTTGTATTAAATGAAAGATCTTTAAAAAAGAGAGGCATTTCTAGAACAGCCAGATGACATGACAGATCTCTTCCAAAAAGTTCTTGCCGTGCGCTCTATTTCAGTTTCTGCAGATGGCTTATGAAGAAAATTTGGATAGAGAGTATTTTCATTATTTTTTTATTATTTTTTTCCAGCTCTGAGGTATAGTTGGTATCCAAAAAAACCCCATATAATTAATGTATACAATTTGGTGAATTTGGACATATCTCTATGCTTGTACTAATGAAAATAACCTCTAAAAGTTTCCTGTGTCCTTTTGTGTTGTGGTGTGTGTGTGTGTGTGTGTGTGTGTGTGTGTGTGTGTTAAGAACACTTAATATAAGATCTACCCTCTTAACAAATATTTAAATGCACAAGACTGTATGGTTAACTGTAGGCATTATGTTGTGCAACAGTCTCTGGAACTTACTCATCTTGGGTAACTGTAACTTTGTACCCCCTTGAACAACTCCTCCTCTCCACGCACCCACTGGTAACGATTCTATTATCTACTTCTATGAGTTGGCCTATTTTAGGTGCCTCATATAAGAGGCAAGCAGTGGATACAGATTATTTTTATCACAATCTTCTCTTCAGGTTAATAAAGTTTTCCTCATTATTACAAAATAAATATAATGTTCATTATCGCATAATGCTTTAAAAATTTTTAAAAACTTGAGTGTTTCTTATTTAAGACTGTTACTATTCAAGACTAATGTAACACTGTGTGTCAACTGTACTTAAATAATAAAAGTTTTTTAAAAACAGGGAAAAAAGACTGATAGTATTCAAATTTATTCTCACTATACATTTAGAGTTTATGTAATATAAGGTTTCCTTCTTGTTTTCATAGATTTCTAATCAATATAAAGTAAGTCAGTGGGATCCTTTAATTTTTTAACATGATATATTGATATTAAACAAATGCTTTTCTAATAAAATTATGCATTTTAAGCAAATTTCTTTTTTTACCATGCTGTGTCCCATATATTACATATTGGGATGAGTTTTTAAACATTTTTATTACATTTTAGCTATTTGACAATTAATTCATCTGAACTGTAGAAATGCTGAGAACACACCAGATTGCTTGGACTGGCAATCTTCTGATATAGTTACTTGCTTTGAATTCAGAACTAATTTCTTTTTAAAAATAATTTTTAAATGATAATTATTTTCCCAGTGTACTCCCGATCAATGGTTCTCAAATGTGATGAGAGGACCCTTCAAGATCCCTGAGATTCTTTCAGGGCATATGTGAGGCTGTCTCTTTTCTAGTTGCATATCTGAGTAAGGCTAGATTTTTATCTGTACTTGAAACAGAACCACAAATGGAATGCAGAAGCAGACGAGAATCAAATGTTCTTCTCTTAAGCCAGATAGGAAAGATATTTTCAAAATAATGCTACTCTTCTCAAAAGTATTTTTTAATTTTGGAAAATATAGTTATTTTTCATAAAAAATACTATTTATGTTAAAATGTAATGGGTTTATTATTGTTATGTTTTTAATTAACTAATACTTTAAAAATTCTGTTCTAATCTCTAATATAGCAAATGTTTATGGAATTTGAAATCTCAGTAATTTGAAGAGTATAAAGGGTTCCTAATGCCCAGAAGCCTGAGAATTACTATTCCAGAAAATTTAACATCATACATTTTAAAATAGAAAGGCGACAGAGAAGAACAAAAATTTAGTAATAATTTAAGTGAAAGAAAAAATGCAAACACAGTCTCCTTTCTCCTCCCTTGAATGCTGGAGCCTAGGTCAAATCAGGTGCAGGTCATGTCTTCAGTGGACGCTGAGAAGGGAGTAGCAGATAAGAATTGTAGAAGAGGGAACTTAGAGAAAAAATGGAGCATCAAAAACCAATCCAAAGAGAGTAAATTGAGTGACAAAACCTTGACTACAAGTCAAAGTGATGCCAACCAAAGAAACCAATAGCCGGTAGAGCTGAAAGGGAGAAGTTGACTAAAGAGAAATGGGCAGATACATGACTGAGAAACCAGAAAAAGACAAGACTGAGGTCAGAGTCTTTCCCAGATAGATATGCTGAGGGCCATTTGCTTTCTTTTTGAAACGAAGTCTCAGAGTTTGGTACAGGTGTCACATCTTGAAGGTCACACAGGTGTGTATCTTGACCGCCACATCTCTCACATCTTTCCAATATTTCTCTTGTTCCAGAAGTTAGTATTTCCTTCCTGCTTCTGACTTCCCCCTCCAAGCTCCTGGAAAGGTCAGGAGGGGGACTGAGCCCTGACCCTGCCACTCACAATAAGTGATGTTTTTCTAGAAAATAACAGTCAAGCACACCATAAAAGTCAATGGGTAGCTATCTGAACAGTCATTATTGCTACTTGAAATTAGCTTCCAAGTGCTACTATAATTAGCATCTTTAGAAGCATCAACAGATGGCTTTAACAAAGCAGCATTACAATACTGAAACCCATAAAATTACCTTCAGTATTTACAAAATACCTTGAAGAATGATAGTGTTTGGTTACTAACAATTCACAATTATAAAATATATAATGTATATTACTAAAATTCTAAGGTAGGGGATGTATTTTAGCCCAGGTTTCCCAGCAAACAAATATGAGGCAAGGATCAACACGCTGGTGTTTTATTTGGAAGGTGCAGTTAGAGTGGGAGAAAATGGAAGTACGGTGAGGTAACAGGGACACGATGCAGTCAGCACACTGACTACTGTGTCACAATGAGCTATAAAGAAATAGCAGGTCATACGGGCAGTTGCAGCCAGTTGGCATACAGTACTTATCCAGAGAAGCTTTACCTGACTATCATGATTGAAGAAGTTCATAGGAGGGACCCCAGGCATCTGCCCAGGGATCTCCTTATCCTGTTTCCCACCGGTGAAATCTCACCTTTTGGTGTTAACTTTTCCATACTTTCAGGTTGCATATCCAGTCTCTTTGGCAGTCGTGATGCTATACCCCTCCTCATAAGGTATTATGTCCCATTCAAATCCAGAAGTGGCTGGAAGAGCTAGAAGTTTCAGGTGTGTGTCTGGTTGGCCTAACTGCATGAAGTAGCTAGTGGGCAATCCAGCTTTCCCTGGTCTGGAAGACTGGTAGACAGAAGGAATCTGGAGAAGCCCATAGGAGTTTCTCCAGTCACGATGGGTTCTTGAGTTTTTATCAGTCACAAGGTAAACCAGATTGACAACAATGGGATTACATTCCTGCCTCTCTAATTTACTGCATTTTACTGCTAATCGTTAAGAGCTCTGTCTTCACTTACATTGTGTCATTGTTCTAGTTACCAATTTGAATGGCTTGGGCACATGGGGTTTTTCTTAAAACCTATTTTAGCTCCTCTATTTAAATTGCCCTAAAAATTCAAAGAAGTATTTCCTTTCATCCCCATAAAGTCACTTTTGAAACATTCAATTTTAATAGCTTTTGAAATACTTCCAATATAAAACGTATTTTTGAAGATTATGCATATGAAAAATATTAATGAAATAATTTAATAAAAGTGGTTACACAGATGTGTACACTTTTAATACTCCATGGAACTCAAGATGCCTTAATATTGAAAGAAATCCCAATTTTGCTATCTGCCTCCATGGGGGGAGAAAAAGAAACGACAAAATGTATGATTATAGAGTAATCTGAGAGAAAAAGTTTCCACTGTTAGAAAAGAGTTGATCAAACACGGACCCTTCATTAAGATACACAGCAAAAACACTCCTGTGCTGGGGCTGAGAAAGTTGTAGAAAAGAAGGGAGAGAGGATTGAAAAATACGTGAAGAAGAAGTAATGAGGGCTTACAGAAAGAAAAGGAAACCCGTTTCTGCATTGTGGGAGTGACAGATGGAGACAGGTGGTAAAGGAATTGGGAAGGAGAGGATTTTTAACACCAGATCTCTGGTGAACTTGAGCCGCTTGGCCATCTCAGATGTGGCCTAGATCCGGACTCTGGAATTTTAAGTACTCTTGGTGAGGTGGGGTGACCTATATGAGTAGAGACCACTGCTCTAATTCTGGGACTCAGTCAAGTACAGTGGCATTTCCACATCAAATGCTCAGCCTCATCCCATGTTCTTTGCAGGAATCGAGACCATAAATCTTGTTTGTCTATCCATTCTTTCTCTGGTTTCTTAGGCTCAT